AAATAATTATTTGCCCTTTCAACTACAGTTTTTTTAAATTACATTTTAGACATGTATACAAATATACTGAGGAACAAGACAAATTACAAGAATATCACACTGCAAAATGTATTAAAATGTCACAAATCTGTCAATTTTATAACAAATTAATGGAAAACGCTTGTAGGTTGTACTTTCAAATACAACTCATTTTACACATTTACATTTAGAGAATATAATGATGTATTGTGTTCCCTTCAGTTTGAGAAATGTCTCTAAAAACATATTACAGTAGTCAACACTTGAAGTGGATCCTCAAAAAAAAGTTCAAAGTTGTCCTAAGACAAGAACGCATTTAGGTTTTAGGACAACCTTGATGAAAGGTTTTGATCCACTTCAAATGTTGACTAGTGTACATTCAGCTTCACCAAACATGCAGAAACCCTGTTTGAAACAATTCACACTTACAAATTCCTAGTAAATTTCACTATTCGTTAAAAAGCAGCAGCAACACATTGCATTAAACATGACATTTTGACATTGAAAGACATATATGTCAACTTTCATTTACATATATACATGTGTACAGGTGCATCTGAAATTAGAATGTTGTGGAAAAGTTCATTTATTTCAGTAATTCAACTCAAATTGTGAAACTTGTGTATTAAATAAATTCAATGCACACAGACTGAAGTAGTTTAAGTCTTTGGTTCTTTTAATTGTGGTGATTTTGGCTCACAGTGTTTGTAAACATTTTTGCTTTACCAGCATTTTAGCACATTATTTCTGAATGTAGCCTAATAATAAAATGCGACGCGAGTCGTGAGCCTACACGACTTATGTTTATTTTCCATCTCAAAATGCAATTTTATACGAGTAGCATTTTTTTAACAATGCAGCAAACATTTTTAAATATCTTAAATACTTTAATGTCTTTAAAGCGTTAACAGATTTTTTTTTCTTTTGTTTAGTAGCCTATATTTTAGCCAAAATCTAGAAAAGATGATGCTGTATTGGCTGTGATTAAGCGCAGCGGGTTAAGATACTAGATTTTTTTTCTTTTCTGTTTTTGAGTAGAAAATGTTGTACTTTATTATTATTATTATTATTATTATTATAGGCAGAGAAAAAGTTTTAAAAAATAACATTATTAACCATTATTTTTTCTAGGCAAACCAGTTTCGGAACGATAATAATACAGAGGAACGCAGGAACAGAAACGTTAAAATATCGATTCTGCTCGGAGTGAACCGATTTGATTTAGTTTTTTTAGTTTTCAAGCCCTGGCAGCAACACTTCACACACAGTCCAGCAAGCTCAATAACCTTTGATCGCATCTCATGAACAGGTTACAGTAAAACACAGCATCATTCCAGCACACAAGCGAGTGCGATGTGTGTGTTTCTCTCCTCGCTCACCTTGATGGTGTCGTACGTGTCGGTGATGAGCGTGATGAACAGACTGAGCACCATGTAGATGAACAGAGACACAAACGTGTAGAGATACAGGCGGCTGAAGAGCCACACCACGTCACTCTTCTGCTGCATGTTCTTGAAGGTGGCGAACATGTCGTCGCCGTTGATGAGGGAAAACAGACTCTCGGAAACAACGTTCAGCGTCCGGAACTGATGGACAGCACAGACATACAGCCGTCATGCATTTCCCATTCCACACAGGAAATTATGTACACTTTCCGGTAACACTTTATTTTAAGGTGCCCTTGTTTTACACATTAAATGTACTTACTATTATAATAACAATAATTACATGCAAGTAACCCTAAACCGAACCCTATAATCCTAAACCTACCCATATAGTAAGTACATGTAGTTAATTAATATTACTCCGTACTTAAATGTATAATTACACTGTAACAAGGAAACCTTAAAATAAAGTGTAACCCACATTCCTTCTGGCTTATTAATTCTTTACATCACAAATGGAAGAAAACAAAATTAATCAGTGTCATTTGACAATTTCTTATTATATAATAAATTACTATATATTATTATACTATTTGTTTAGAACTATTTAGAATTCATTTTAATTTTCAGTTTCACTCATTTTGGCATTTTTTTATTCAACAATACTTTTTTCTTTTGCCATTTTTATCTTTTTATTCTTATATATATATATATATATAATTAATACTACTAATTTAAGATTTTTTCCTTTATTTATACTTATTTTATTTTAATTATTTGCCAACGCAACATTTTATAGAAGCCCAATTCTGCCACAGGATCAAAAAATCACCTTTTTTACTCAATTCCAAGTGTCTATCTTTCAATTCAGATTTTTTTCTATGAACTGCAACTTTATTTCTCTAATTTTAAAGTTTATATCTTTTTTTTTTCTTTCTTTGATTTGTGAGATATAAACTTACAATTGCAAATTTATAAGTCAAAACTGCAAGATACAAAGTCTCACTTCTGAGAAAAGTCATTCATTTTGAGATGTAAACTCTTTTTACCTTAAAAAAAAATTATAAAAATTTATGCCATGGCAGAAACAAGCTTCCATAACATTTTTCATCATATGTTTCTATTTACAACAGTTATGAATAGTTTTCCTTTACAATAATAACACTGATCTTAATGATTTGGGATTTTCTGTAAGATAATTATTCACTACCTAATAGTATGGAGTTAATAATACATAATTAATATTGATTGTGAGAGTTACACATCTGTACTGTTTACCATGCATCAGATTTACACATTCTCCTGATTGAAACCGTATCTACATTAATATTATGTAATGATTTCATTTATAATTCTTAGAAATGACACCAGATGTTCATTTTATGTTATTTTCAGCGTCGACAGCAGACAGTAAAACCACACTACGATTTATCCTGAACTAAGATAGCATTAAAATAATGCACATTTGTTCGGATAAACAGCTGAAACATGCTTCAAATATTGAAGAGCTTATCTTAAGACCTATTGAGGTCTGTAAATAATACATTTATAGTCCATAAGAAAAATGAAATACATTTTAAACAATTATTTTCAGTGTGCAAATTTTAATGCATTTTAATGTACAAGTAAATAACTAAAACATATTAAATAAATAATGAATAGCATGACTATAATGGTGTAGTGAAGTGGTGACGTGCCTTGGTGTGGTAGGGTCCCAGTACGATCCATCCACAGAAACAGTAGCCGAGGTAAATCATGGCAGCACAGCAGGTGAAGCGGATGACGTTCGGTAACGCCGCTCGCAGAGTGATGATGAGAATCTGAGCAGAGGAAATGAAACACAGCCACTTACACGTTACAGTCAACTGAGGGCACACACGCTCAAAAAATACTGCTGTTCTTTCTCAGTATTTTTGTCTTGTTATCCAGTGAAATGTCTAAAGATTCTAGAGTCAACACACATTTACTTGAGAAACAAACTGAAAAAGAAGTCTTATTTTCTGTTAACGTAATAAAAATGCACAGTTTTCGATTACAATAAGAACATATCAATCAGAAAAATCTACTTTATTCAAAGGGAAAACAACTTTTCATTGCCTATTCATACCTCATTTTCTCTGAAAACAGTATCGTCATTTTGGATCTCAAGTTAATGTATCTTGATTTAAAGGGATAGTTCACCCAAAAATGAAAAAAATGTGATGTGTATCTGCTTACCCCCAGGCCATCCAAGATGTAGGTGACTTTGTTTCTTCACTAGAACACAAATGGAGATTTTTAACTCAAACCGTTGCAGAAGTCATATAATGGAAGTGAATGGGAATCACGGCTTTGAGAGTCAAAAAAACATACACAAACAAAACCAAATTAAACCCTGTGGCTCGTGACGATACATTGATGTGTAAAGACACGAAACAATCGGTCTGTGCAAGAAACGGAGCAGTATTTATGTGTTTTTTACCTCTGATTCACTGCAATGTCTGAACCGTCCTGAGCAGCCGGGCGTGACGCGGCGACTTCTTCTTCTTGCTTTACGGCAGATTGCAGACTTATAAGTGCATTACCGCCACCTATCTCTCAAATGGACCATTGACACTCCTAATTGAGATTGTAGATAGAGTATCAATGGTCCATTTGAGAGACTTACCCGCAGGGTTTAATTTGGTTTTGTTTGTGTATGTTTTTTTGACTCTCAAAGCCGTGATTCCCATTCACCTCCATTATATGACTGACAGACTGCAACGGTTTGAGTTAAAAATCTCCGTTTGCGTTCTACTGAAGAAACAAAGTCACCTACATCTTGGATGC